CAGAGTGTAATTTTTATATGCTATTATATAACGTTTGGTCTTTGTTTTTCATGTAAGTCACTGAATAAATTGTTTGTCTGTGGCCGATATCTTTCTGTTGTATGAATTGATTATCCGAATGATAATGGGCAGATCAATCAACCTTCTCTTCTCTCACTGATCCTTGCTGATATAGCGAAATTGATTCTCACTGGGTGCTTTCTGTTAGTAATATGATGCCGTACTATAATTATCAATGTAAAGCTGCCCCCATTTGAGTTCTGAGAAAAGAGGACTGATAAACCTGTTTTGCTGCTTTTTTGTTTGTTTGTTTTTCTTTGTAAATCCTGTTGTATTTCGATATTATCACTTTACAGTAATGTAATTTATTTGTTGTCATTTGTTTCTAGATTTTTTTCTTGTTTCTCGTTGTAACTAAATTTTGTTATCCTGCAAAAATATTACATATAATTTTTTCGGTGGTTAAAAAATTCTATTACTTGAAAGCATTTTTTTTTTCGAGAAAATATGGAAGGTGAAATTTCATATTGATTTCAATATATTGCTTTTCAATTGTGAGTACGTTTCTTGGTGTGGGGTAAACGGGTAATTTGCCGCCTCCACCCGGATCAACAGGTCATTTCTTTCCATATTTGTTTACAATTATGCTCAGTCAAAAAAAATTGCTTTTTGTGACCACAATTTTATGTTCCCTGATATATTTGAAAAATAAAAGATTTTATCATTGTTTCCCAATGTCGTAAGTTGATATCCATCTTATTCCTTGCATCACACACACTCGAAAATTAGAAGCGACGCTCATGTCAGCTTGTTATCTGGGATAATAACTGGCTTCTAGTTTATGTTTACACCCGTTTGTAAATTCCTGTTGTAGATACAAGCTCAGACACATTTCACTTACTTTTTCAATAGCCAAAGAACACACTTCCGGTTTATATTGTAACAATGCTGAATAGATCTTAGCTACAGTTTCTGGCAGCTTGTAATCTGGCATGGTAAGTTGTTTTAACAAGGCCAATACAATCAAACCCTCATTCACGATGACTACATCTGTTCAGTTTCAATCACAAGAATTGAGTGAACTCGTGGTATGGTTTTCAAATGATTTCTAGCGCCTTCCCAGGCCGTTAACATTAAGAAGTCATTTCCCTAACAAATAAACCATTATGAGATTCGAACCTGGGTTTCATGGTCGGCAAGTGAATTTTCTAACCACTCCGTCACTTGTCCAGACATTATCAGCACGCATTCTAGTCTGACACAGATCCATCGAGAAGACATTATTTCTAACTTTTATTAAATCTTGTAAAAAAAAATTAATCACTAAATTTAAACGGGACAAATATGACATAATACACTGCGTGCCAAATTATCATCGAGATAACTTTTTCTAATATTTCAAATACTGTCCAATCAATTCACACAAAATTTTCACACAATATTGGCACCACTGATTTGCGTAATCACTGGAATTTTCGTACTGATATGCGCAATGTAAACAAACTGGAACCATATTTGTTTTCAGCACTGTGATTTGAGCGTGCCAAATTACTAGAAAGGTTTAGTAAAATTCCCAGAATTGAGCAAAAAAAAAAAAGTTTATTCATGTTGAACGTGAATGTTTATGATCAAAAGAAGCTAATAAATAAGATAATCAAACAAATAATAACAGATACAAACAAAGGCACAGTTTTAAACAAATTAATAGGGAATGTGCTTTCCCTGTTTTGAAATTACTTGAAAAAGTCGACGATCCATAGAATTTGTTAATTGTAGAATGTCATCTGCTGTAATGCTGCAAGATATGTCAAGAATTGCTTCCCATAACTCAGCATTGCTCCTGAATTGTCGTCCGTCGGCCTACAGTCTTCGCTTCATGATGTTCCAATGGTTTTCGATTGGGTTAAAATCCGGAGAATTTGCTGACCACTTCATTTTTCGAGGTCCATCGAAGCCTAACTGTTTCAAATATATTCAGTAGTCTTGTGAGCAGCGTGTGAGGGAGCATTATCTTGGATAAAAAAAAAAAAACATTGGCCCTTCTGAAGGTAACTCTTTGCCTTTTCATCCACGGTTCGAGATGCTCCTTCATAAATGATATGTATGCATCAGCAGTCATTTTGACGCCATCTGGTACTCTCCATGGGCCCACTAATGTGTTTCCAATAATACCACCCCAGATCATTATGCCTCCACCACCTTGTTAGCGTCTCAAACGCTGATGGCGATTCTGTCCGTTCATTACCCAGTCTTTGCACCATCTATCTGGCCCATCATGTGTTGCTCAAGTTTCGTCTGTGAACAAAACTTTAGAGAAGTCAATCTTCATATTGTTCTAGGTCCATTTCAATCGATTTTGAATGTGATTTCTCGTCAACGGAGGCTTCGATACAGGTTTGACTGTTGTTGCTATTTCCTTCAGATACCGACACCGAGTACTTTTAGACACAGTAGGATCCCCAATACGACTGAAAAGCTCTTAACTGGTAAGTCCGGGGTTCTTCGTGGCCTCTCGTTTAAGTCGTGACATGAGACGACGTGAAATAACCCTCGGCTTGCCTTTATATGCCCTTTTGCGTACTTGTGTAGGGTTGGCGGTGAATTTTTCACTGTTTGATGACACTTCCCTATCATTTTAAAGATTTCTAGGGTAGATTTACTTATTGAGATTTCTGAGGTAATAGTTTTCTTTTCAGCATCACTTAAATTGCTTTTACGGCCCATCTTTTCACTAAATTCTTATACTTTTCTAATAATTTGGCACGCTCAAATCACCGTGCTGATAACAAATATGGCGCCAGTTTGTTTACATTGCGCAGATCAGTACAAAAATTTCAGCGATTGCGCAGTTCAATGTTGCCGACATTGTGTGAATTGATTGTACGGTTTTTGAAATATTAGAAAACAAGTTATCTCGATAATAATTTGGCACGCCAGTGTATATGAAAATTACCGGGTTTTTTTTCAAAAGGTCGAAACTCATTGAACTTAAAAAAAAGTGACTTATGAAATATTAACTTATTGTAAAGAACACAATTGAAATAGTCTCTTTTTGGCGTCAGGGACAAACCAGATTTTTATTTTTTTTATTTTCTAGGTTACACCAGGTTCTAAGTCTCGCATGTAACAACGCCTCAACACAATCCACTCACCTGAGATAGAGAGAGTCTGGGTAACACACACACACACACGTGTATTTTTTTTGTTTGTTTTGTTTCTTAGTGAAATTTGAGTAGATTTGAATAGCGAAATTAAATCAGAGCATTTTGTTTACTGATGGGGAAATCTGTTCTAGGGCAGAAGTTGTACCCATTGAATCTGGGTCATCCGAGAACAATGGGAATGGTCGAAATAATTTTTATCGATTAAAAATTGAAATAGAGCTGAGTAAGCTAAAAGGAACTTTGGAATTCACATGATTTTGGTTGAAGCAGCCAGAACCCCCGTGATAATCGCGTGCGAAGTAGTAAGGCCGTGGGCCCGTTATAATTAGCCGGGTTTATCTATATAAACGCGTAGTTATGCTGAAAAAGACAGACGGAAGAAAATTCTTGAAGAGAGAAGAGAGAATTGGCCCGGGCACGCATTGGGAGGAGGAACGCCACTATAACCTTTAAGCCCCGCACAGAAATCTTTCTTCCTCCATCGCAAGAGTCATATATCGTTCTGAGACGATTTAACAACAAGATAATCACATACACACACTCTCTCTCTCTCTCTCTCTCTCTCTCTCTCTCTTTCTAATCCAGTGTATAATTTTTTTTTGTTTTTTTTCTTTTTCTTTTCTGTAACCCGTTTCTCTTCTCTACTATTCTTTTCTGCTATATAAAAGACATTACCAATTCAACCATTGAATCGATGTTTGTCCGTCTTTCTGCAAATATTATTATTATTAAAAAATTTTTTTTACTGCATTCTAAATTTACATGTCTACATCTTCAGTCGACCATGAATGGACGGATATCACTTCTGCTTTCTGGATCAAACAAATCACAACGTGGGGGCAGGAAGCAGGATTAAACCAGCGAACCGGTCGAATAATCTACGGATGCTCAGTGGACCTATGGCCACTCCCTCAAGTTCGGTTAGGACACCTCAACCCAGAGAGTAAGACGCCGGAAGTTGAGGGGCTGAGGCGAACCTATGCCATGTAGGTTTTGCAACCTGTCAGTCCTGAAGCACCTTCACATATCGAGGTCTTCTGATAGTATGACTAGCGAGATTTTATTCCGCGGGAGCTTGCTAGGCTTGTCGCATAGCTTACAGTGACTGGAATTATCCAGTGATTCCGCATTTGAAGACTCACAAGATTCATTGTTGCTTAACTTCAGTGATCGGACAAAAAATCGAAGTTTTAAGTTTTAGTGACTGACAGTCCAGACTAAGAAGCTAGCCTATGAAGACATGGGCTTGTCAGTAAAGACACCCAAAATTAACCTCGCTTGACAACTGATTGAAAAGTGAAAAAAAAGTTTTGCTTTACAATAACTATTAAATATTAGAGATAGATGAATTTAGTATGAAATTTCGATTGACTTTGTTTTTTTATTATTTAGAACAATTTCTAATTAAGATACATTTTTATAAAATGTTTAAGAGATTTATTCGATATAATAACACAGAATTGCTTCTTAAAATGTTTGTCATTTTTGTTTTATTTCTTTTATTCTCAATCGTCTTAAATCAATTGGTTAAATGTCTGCTGGGATATTTTCATTGACGATTTTCTTTTTTTTGTCGCGAAGAACTAATCAGAAATTGGTTAATGTAAATCACTGAAGATGGAGTGGAACTGAATTGATTTCAATGTGTTAATTTTTCGAGGTGATGTGATTCCTTGGCGTATTCCAGAGTTCCTTTTCATTCAGAGAGTCGATCGATTTTCTTTACATAACCACCTTTGTAATTTTGGAGCGTGATTTGATGATGGCTAAAGTTTTGTTGGCCTTAAAAGACATCAAATCATTGGAGACGGCACAAAAGATTTAACACTGGGATTTTCATTTGCATTTTGCATTCTCTTCGATTGAACTAATTTTCTGTGTGTGCGTGTATGTAGAGATAGAGATAGATAGAGATAGATAGATAGATAGATAGATAGATAAATAGATTGAGAGAGAGAGAGAGTAGACACATACATACTTATATATAAGTTAAAGATCAACTTCATATCAAATATGGATCGGAATCTGACAAGATGATGAGAGAAAGAACAAATAGGAAACGTCTATCAATCTAACATGTTTCACTTTTATTAAAACTTCGTCAGAGATTGAGCGAAAACAGGCAAAATTTCTCTCATCATCTTTGACGAAACGAAGCTTTAATAAAACTGGAATATGTTAGATTGATATACGCTTCCTATTTGTTCTTTATTTTAATATATATATATATATATATATATATATATATATATATATATATATATATATATATATATATATATATATATATTATATATATATATATATATAACCAGACGTCTAGCCACACTGATGAGCTGTGATACAACGAAACAGTCTGTATGTGGATGACAATATACATGCTCCTGCTCTTGGTAAATCGAATCAGGTTCGATCAGTCACTGTGTATTTATCTAAAAATAAATACGCTTAAATTCACGTTAGATTCTGCCGTGCGCCAACAGCTTCGTGGTAAAATCCTGACTAACGCCATTTCAGTCGGGTTTCGATCCTAGCTAGGTGCAACCGGGCGTCTAGTATACACTGATGAGCTACGAAACAGTCTGTCTGCGGATGACAGTATATGTATATGTATATATATATTGGGTGTATTTGGGTAAGAATTTAATTCATAACATTCTTCTTAAAAATCAACGACAGTTGTCTTTTAATTAATTTTTCGATATTTCAGAAAAAATCCTTTTTTGGGGAGAAATGTTAAACATTAATTACTTAATTGTTTTAAACAGAAATTACGTAAATATTTTCGGCTTTCATATTTTCTTTTTCGTTTCACGCGTCATATCATTTTTTTTTTAAATATCACATATTCAGGGTTAATTGACAAAAACATGCAGGCCGGAGTAAAGTGCCAGCAGGGATTCTCTTTTCTGAGGTTTTGCCCAAATATCAATTTAGCTTAATTTTGTAAAGTTACCTGAAATTTACAATTTATAGATAGATAGATAGATAGATAGATAGATAGATAGATAGATAGATAGATAGATAGATATGAACAAATTAACACAAATGAAACAAATAAATATTTACTCAACTCGCCTTGGTTTCTTACAGACTTGCAACCATGGATTCCCTAATGTGAATGGAAAACATTAAAGTGTTATTTGTTGCCTATTTGTCACGCTTTTAGATATTTAGTTTCGCGCCGTCTGGCACAAGATTGCAATAGTGGAGCGCGCCGGATACTTCGAATTTATCAGTTAATCATCAACGATACTAGATGTTAGGTAGCCTTATATATTTGCTCAGCAAAGTTTAATGTAGCATTAGTTAACTACTAGAAAATACATCGTGTTATTCAAATTGCTTACATTAGGAATGATCAGATTAAGATAGATAGATAGATAGATAGATAGATAGATAGATAGATAGATAGATATGAACAGACTGAGATAGATAGATAGATCGATAGATAGATAGATAGATAGATAGATAGATATGAACAGACTGAGATAGATAGATAGATAGATAGATAGATAGATAGATAGATATGAACAGACTGACATAGATAGATAGATAGATAGATAGATAGATAGATAGATAGATAGATAGATAGATAGATAGATACGAAGAGACTGAGATAGGTAGATACGAACAGAGATAGATAGATATGAACAGACTGTGATAGATAGATAGATAAATAGATAGATAGATAGATAGATAGATAGATAGATATGAACAGACTGAGATAGATAGATAGATAGATAGATAGATAGATAGATAGATAGATACGAAGAGACTGAGATAGATAGATACGAACAGAGATAGATAGATATGAACAGACTGTGATAGATAGATAGATAGATAGATAGATAGATAGATAGATAGATAGATATGAACAGACTGTGATAGATAGATAGATAGATAGATATGAACAGACTGTGATAGATAGATAGATAGATAGATAGATATGAACAGACTGAGATAGATAGATAAATAGATAGATAGATAGATAGATAGATAGATAGATAGATGTGAACAGACTGAGATAGATAGATAGATAGATAGATAGATAGATAGATAGATAGATACGAAGAGACTGAGATAGATAGGAACAGAGATAGATAGATATGAACAGACTGTGATAGATAGATAAATAGATAGATAGATAGATATGAACAGACTGAGATAGATAGATAGATAGATAGATAGATAGATAGATAGATAGATAGATAGATAGATATGAACAGACTGAGATAGATAGATAGATAGATAGATAGATAGATAGATAGATAGATAGATAGATAGATATGAAAATTTTGTAAATATCGTTCTCAACTATCCTTCTTCAAAATTCCTGCATTGGTGCTTCATAATCACACAAGACTGTACCAAATAACATTAAGTATATCACTTGAGAAATTTCAACGGCAACTATAATGTATATCACATGGAACTCGATGAGAAAATAATGTCATAATCAAGATGTTGATTTTCCACACTACTTCCAACAAAAGTTTAGAAATGAAACCCTAATCAATACTTGAAAGAGCCATAATAGCTAGTGAATTCGAGAAACCCATTTTCCCGAGAAAAATTCTAATAGAAAGATTTTATAAGTTTCAATCGGAAATAGCACTGGCTATTTGGTCAATGAATGCGAAATGTTTTCTTATAAGGAAATGGGTTACCATTCTATTACCATTTCCACGGCTAATATTACCATTACCATTATGTTATGTTGTGTATAATCAAAAACGTTCCATTTTTGAAAGTATGGGCAAATGATTGAATGAAAGCAAATCGATCACATTGAAATAGCGTGTTAATAAATGTAGAAAACAAGACTGTTCTTATGTCACTCTTTTGAAATATGTGTCTTTAGTCACATACTGAGCAGAGAAATAAACATAGAAGTGAATTTATCCTCATACAAAGATTACAAATAAAAACAAAAAACAGCACAAAATAGTTGTCAATTATTTGAAAGCTTCGTCACTAATTAAAGCGAATTAGTCAGACAAAAATCCTAATTACATTTCAAAGCCTGCCACACCCATGCCTTCGTACAGAGGAAGTCATCAAATGCCGGAAGTCGATCAGTAGCGGGAGTTAACCAGTGCCGGAAGTCTACCGAAAGGAAGTCAATGAAGGCCATGGGTGAGAGTCGATCTATTCTTTGAAATAAATAAACAAATGAAAAATAGAAGAAAATAAAACGGATAATTTCTAAAAAGGAACAGAATTTAAATTATTTGAAGCTCTGGATCATGATCTGGTTGAATCGAAACGTAAAACATTGCCAAATTGTTCCGGACTGAATTCGTTTTTGAACATTTCGATTGCCTCAATTCATGGATTTTCACAGAGGTCATTCATGTCTCTTCACCTCTTTCTTCTTCTTCTTCTTCTTCTTCTTCTTCTTCTTCTTCTTCTTCTGCTCTTTCGTTATCTTCTTTAAAATAGAAATCAATGCTTGCAATGTTTCTCGAGAAATTTCTTGAAAACGTATTTGTAAGATTTCAAAGCAGTTTTCACGTTTGTGGAGTCGATATAAGGAATCAGATTGGCATTTATGAAGAGAACGATCAGACATACGAAGCTTATAAATGATGAGCTAAACTGCAGACCGCCGAATTCGTGACACTGAGGAAAATTTGATGTAAACGTCCATTGAAGTTGCAGAATAGGACAATTTACTATCGGTTGTCAAATACAAAATATTAAAGCGCATCCTTGCAGTAAAAAGACAATTTGGATTTGGATTTGAAAATGTCACTTTGACGTTCGATCGATGGTCTTTCTGGAGATGATTTGGACAAGGATAGAGATTAAAAAAAAATCTGTTTTGAATAAGGAGCCAACATTATTTATGTTACTTACAATCCGAAACATACCTTCGTCTTTACTGATATTGTTACAACGTTTCGGCAGTTTTAAACGCCGACATCCTCCTGGTGTCTTTCAATCAGAGTAGCCTCCAGTGTACCTCAAACTGAATCCCCCGCTTAAGAACTGATCAATAACAAAAAAAAAGGAACAAGACATCACCTTAGCTATTGAAAGTGGAACGAGAACAATCTATTATCCGTAGATAAGGGTTCCGTTCAAAATTTCCTGAAGGTTATACTAATCAAAAGACACTTGAGGATGTTGAAGATCAAAGGATGAGGACATTTGTCCGATTGTAAATAATATAAATAAGTTATCTATTGTTTAAAATAAAGACATTGCCATTAGGTTACGAAACGTGGAAGAATATATATACAGGATGTCCCAAAAATTTAACATTTAAATTTCTCAGGCCAATAATTTTAGCAATTCTTGTTGAAATAACCTCAAATTTTCACAGAATGTATAGAAACAGATCAACATTATATATTTAATGTTTTATTTTTGTTCTGTTTTCAGATTGTGCAGCATGTCTTCAATACAAAATTTGGACAAAATTTACCAACTGGCAAACATATTTGAACTTGGTACCAAAAATTTAAAGAGAAAGGCTGCTTATGCATCATCATCAACATCAGCATGTTTGGCAAGAGTTTAACTACCGACTTGGCGTGTTCTATGTCACAGGCGGTGCACATATTGAACACTTATTAAATCGGTTCCATAATAAATTTATGATGTTCAACACCTAAACTGTTCAATTTCATTGAGCTAGACTTAGTAGTTTTCAAGATAACTGCTTTTAAAATGATGCCAAATTTTTGGGGACACCTATATATATATATATATATATATATATATATATATATATATATATATATATGTGTGTGTGTGTGTGTGTGTGTGTGTGTGTGTGTGTGTGTTTTAGTATCCTTTATCCGAAATTCCCAAATCCGAAAACCTCCAAAATCAGAAAATGTTTCAGGTGACATAACTTGCCACAAATGGAAAATCTTCGAAAGACCAGCTACAATGGCGCAGTTTTTTTGTTTTGTTTTGTTTTTTGTTTTTTTGTTAGCGATCGTCACAGAACCACTTTCGTTCGTGAATTACTTTCCAGATGTTTCGTGCTCAGTAAAGATATTATTCAAAATGTCAAAAAGTCCTGCATCTATATATTTTTGAAGTAGTGATCATGTTTTTGTACACGTACAGAACATTATTTTTACGTGTAATCTTAATTTCACCACTTAAACATCCTTGTGAGCATTACATGACTAGTATCAGTGCCTGTATTTTGACAAAAATCTATTAAATCTCATATGAAACTACTACCAAGGGATATATATGAGCTGTGTTTAAAGGTATATCGTATTTATGCTTGGATTACATTTCCATGTTACTCTATTTCATAGATACGATATACAAATTAAATAGTCTGTATGCCAAAATCGGAAAATATCTGAAAATCGAAGTACTTCCGGTCCCAAGAAAATTTCTTTCAGTTGAAGCCATTTTGACTTCTGGTTTACTAGACATATGTTGTCCTTGTTACTTCTCGAGGTTTCAAGTGTTTTCTTGGGTTAGGAAGATTGTATTTCATTTTTTTCTACTTAAATAATTAATTTTAATGACTAATGTAATAGTCAATATTTGCATATGTCTTCACTCGACTATATATATATATATATATATATATATATATATATATATATATATATATCCAAGTATATAATTGGTATATACGGAATGAATTCCAATAACCAACAATTAATATTCTTAAAAGAGTGCTCAATACAAAGTAGAGCAGATATAATTATTTTTTATAAAAAATTTATAACATAAGTATGTTATAAAAATCACTACAAAAATAGCCATTTTGTTTCAACACTTGTGTGTCTTATCAAGTGATGATGTTGAAAAAAAAAATAAATGTTTTTTTTTTCTACTTCATCACTTGATAAGACACAGAGTGTGTTGAAATAAAATGGCTATTTTGTAGTGATTTTATAACATATTTATGTTATAAATTTTTTATAAAAAATAATTATATATATATATATATATATATATATATATATATATATATATATAGGCTGCATATTTTCATTCAAGCATGTTTGGTTAAATAATTTAAATGTATAATACATATTTATTTTAGTTTTAACCGAAATGATTAAAACTAAAATGAATAAGTCTAAATTATTTAACCAAACACGAAAACATTTGTTGGTGGTTGTACCAAATTGATTAAGGAAAATACCAAAATTTTCATTCAAAAATTTATTTATTTTCCCAAATACGTTCAATCTCATCTAAAACCATCTTCAGGGGCTTAAAATATCTGTGCACGTGTATACAGTAGCTCCGTAATTTCCTTTACAGCGTTACAAATACAAATATGTAAGGGGGTCAAATTTTGTAATTTCTTATTTGAATATTTAAAAAATGAAAAGTTTTTGTTTTTTAGATATATCCTAATTTTGTATTTTATATAAAACTTTGATGCTACAAACATTTAAGAACTTTGTTGCTATACTCTTAATTGACTTTATTTATTTTTGGTCGCAATTCTCTTATATGAAGGGCTTACAGAATTTTAAGTTTTTGTTTATTATTATTTTGATGAAGTACTAATGTATTTTCGACTTATATCTCTCTAAAATGTGAATGTGAACATGGGTGTTCCATTAAATGTTCTGAGATTGATCTATGCTCATTCAAGTGAAACTAAACCGACTCGTTAACGTCGTCGTTGTAAAACCAATACATGTATTAACATTTTTATCAAATATGTAATCTCCCAACGGACATGTAAATTAATACACAATGTTGGTCTTTGTAAGATGCTAGTTGACATTGAAGAATTGTTTTGCGTGACTAGGTTGGTTATATCGTATATGTTTAATTTTATTTTTGTTACTTCGATCAGTAGGAGATATGTTAATCTTTTTAGAATTTTTACCCCCTGCTATAGTTGGAATGCATAGTAGTTTAATATTTTTAGATTTATTTGATGATGTATTATGTTCATTTTTATTGATGTTTATATCCTTAATAGATCGTCTAATTTCTTCATCAATGATGTAATTACGAAAATCATTATTAATGAGGGTTTCTTTAATATTTTTTAATTCAGTATAGAAAATTCTTCCTTGTTGAAGAGTTTGTTTTTGTAAAAAAATATTTTAAATTTATGTAGCTACTGTATACACATCCACAGATATTTTAACCCACTGAAGATGGTCTCAGATGTCATTGGAAGTACTTGAGAAAATAAAAATTATTTGAATTATTTACATACGTTCTATCCCTGATATTGAGCACTTTAACTCATACATATAGCATACTTTAAACTATATTTTATCATTACACACACACACACACATAAAATACATATATATATATATATATATATATATATATATATATATATATATA